CAAATTATTGCAGCTCAAACTGTTACATTGAAAATAAATATTAAAGATATGGAAAGGTTAATCATCTTTTTAAATTATTTAAATAAAAGAAAATTTATTTAAACACAATTTTGATCATCAATAAATAAGGAAAAGTTGATTTAAACACCATAAATGTTTTTTTCTCAGCAAATTCTCTCCTGCAGGATTTGTTTTCCCATGTTTGGTTGGAGCTGACTCAGTCTTTGCTCTGTGTTTGACAGAAGTTAGCTCTCCTTCCTGAGACGACCCAGTAAGGGAAGTTATGACCCAGTATAGACAGAATGGTCTATGAATGGTCCTCTCTGCTGCTCAGGCRTGTCATCAAACTATCTCCAAATCAAATAAAGCAGACACAATCAGCTGGAGCAGATCTAATGTCAGTTTAGAACTGGATGAAAAACAAACGCAGCACAGAGAAGAGTTTTATAACGCAGTGATTCCCCTTTTAGTGTCGGATATTAAAGTCTTCAAGAAGATAACTGAAACTGCACGACATCAACACCAGATAAACAATTAAAAAATCATTAGGCCTACAATTTACACTACAAACTGTCAGCGTTAAACCCATTTCAGTAATAAACTCAGTTGTTTACTCGCAGAAATCTTAACTTTTGTTGCACTTTTCTTGTTTACAGCTGCAACAAAAATAACTTCAGTTATTTTAGAGTGATGGTGAACTTTTAACTTTTGCTGTCGTTATAATTTAGAGTTTAAAGATAATTTACAGACTCTCTAAAAAGCTGTTTCAAACAATAATGAAGACACTTCAAAGAGGAGAATTTGAAATTAATATTTAAATCMGAAATATTAACAATTTATTTAGAGAGTGACAGATTTGTGACAATCTCCCACTAATCCAAACACTTTGATTTATAATACAGAATGATATATTATTTAACAACCAGGTTGAATAAATTCTTCAAAGATGTTTATAAAGATAACTTTAAATGTTGATAAAAACTAGACAATTATCTAAGTACAAGAGGATTTTAATGTCTTTATGTGACTTTTAAACCAAAATGTGATGAATTTTACTGCAGGCTGGGAACTGATTTTTCAAATAAAACAAATTAAGATTACAAATAAGATGACCTTGACCTTTACTGTGAAAAAAAATCACCAGAAGATAAACCAAACAAACAGATTTGGGCTTATTTTGTCTCTGTCTGACTGTTTTCATCGATGTGACCTTTGTGCACTTCATCTGTGTTTCTGAAAGCTCTCAGAGTCGTCGTTTCGGCCCACTAAGGGTAATTTTGTGTCACCATAAGAGAGAGGATTGGCCCCTGGGGTCTCACCAGGATAATTCACTCAGTGATCTGTGTCTGTATGCACAGCCACTGAAAGCTTTCACAAATCAATAATAAAATTTAAAAAAAACGACTATAAACTGAGACATTATTTCAATCTTAGAGATGTTTATTGTAGCTTCGAAGCTCTGTGAGCGTTTCAGGACAGCTATCGCTCTCTTGATGTTCAGTTTATGTCTGTGAACTGGAACAACAATGGTAACAAACCACSAAGGCAGAAACAAACATTTTATTTTATCCATTTCTAATGTGATTCACATGAGATCTGTCACACAGAGACCCTCTGCTGACACTGTGTGGTGGAGCGAAGTACTGCAGGATCAACGCTGGAATCAGTTAAAACCACTTTCTGATTAGTTCAAACCACTTTAACTGATTTTAATGGCACCAATTCRATAGTTTACAATAAATATTTAATTAGATTTGTGAAAATCTAAAATGTTTTAGTCACAACGATTAAAATTACTTGCTTGTTCACATTTAAAAGTTTTATCCTTCGGATTTTATTGTAATCCTGATTCAAACACGAGGTTCACTTTTTATGGGAAAGTTCTAAAATTTAGCTGTAGTCCCTACAGTCTATAGCCCTCCTTGCAGCAGGATTTTCCCAGGATTCATCAGGTTGTTTGGGTCGAGGGTATCCTTCAGACCCTGCATGACCTGGATGGTCAGAGGTCCCACCTCCTCACACAGCAGCGCTCTCTTTCCTAAACCCACCCCGTGCTCCCCCGTGCACGTTCCGTCCATGGCCAGTGCTCGCCTGCAGAGGAACAAAACAACACTGCGTGTCGAGGTTTATACGATTTAAATACAAACATAGAGATGTGTTGGATTAAAATCYCCATCTATATGTGAACTAATCACAAACAGAAACATCMGAATATGTTCATGATGCAAACTTTGAGTGATAATATGTGTTTTAAAGTCATCTGTCGTACCGGGCCAGCCTCTCCGTGAACAGGTGGACTCTGTGAAGCTCATCCGGGTCGCTGGGATCCACAACCATCAGACAGTGGAAGTTACCGTCACCCACATGACCTGCGATGGGACCTGAAGGAGAGAGCAAATATTTTAACCACAAATGACTTTTAAATTTAAAAGAGACATATTAATTTAAATCTTTCTTTAACTGCAATGCTTTGGTCTGAAATCCTCGTWACTGTAACTCTACAAGCCCCTTTTTCACCTCCTTTCTGAGGTGTAGCTCAGATTTTGACATGACTTTAATGTAGGAAAAGAATAAAAGTTATATTCAAAAGAAAAATACATTTAAAACAAAAAAAACAAGCAAAAGAAAAACAATAGTGAATAGATCAACTCGGTTTGAGGCTGTCTCTTTAAATCTAAACCAGGCAATTCAAACCCCGCCCCCCTCCAGCTTACAGAGTGACCCATTCTAAGTTGATAGAGGGGTTTACAACTATCTAGCTACAATTTAATTACAAGACGTCAACATGGGAAGACTTGTTCATCCAGCCTTACAAGATGGAGTCCGAGTCTGACCCAGAACCAGAGTCTGACCCAGAACCAGAGTCTGACCCAGAACCAGAGGAGAATGAAGACCACCAAATTGTAGTTGGTAACTCCAGACCTCATTTAGAAACAAATACTGTGACACAATAGTTCAGAAAATGTCATAGAAAATAGAGAAAACTGAACAGGTTGAAAAATATGACTATTACTTGAGAGTTTTGTTACTTTAAAGCAACAAGGTAATAACATATTAATGAGTATGGTTACTTTGAAGCCAAAAGGTAATAAAATGAGGTCATAGATCAATAATAAGTTCATTTTTAATGGTTATTAACCTGGGGAGATAGGATAACTCCCCTTTAACAGTTCCCTTGAGACCTATTGTCCAGGTCACTAAATTTCATCTCGGTCAAAATAAGAAGTGCACATCCTACGAAGGGAGCGKCTGCCAGAGAACAGTGGTGACCGGCAAATGGAGGCTACTACGCCGACCCAGAGGCCGGCGTTCACGAAGGGAGCGACCACTGGAAGGAGGGCAGCTGGAGACCGAGCTCAAGGCTCCTGCCTGATGACTCCCGGAGGAGACACGTCAGACTCAGCCGYACCGGTCACCCCCAGGTGGCTGTAAGTCCGGCCCATCGCCTCCTAACCGAGAGGGAGACATCGTCTCCTCTCCAAGACCCATCAGTGTCCTAGTGGGTAAACTGGGGGAGGAGCCACAACGGATTTCAAAACGGAATATAAAGGTATCTACACAGTATTGGGAGAGACTAAATTTAAAAAAAAAACTTTTTTGCACACCTAGAGATTCTAAGTACAAAACGAAATGTATTTAACAGCTAAAAAAAGTAGAATTTGCAGGAAATGTCCCATTTAAATAATTGATTCCACCTGCTGCACTAATCTAAATATTAGTTGCACTAACCCTAAAACACTAACTCAAATACAGTATTTAGGTCCCCTAATTCTAAAGCACTAACATGACACATTTGACCCATGGAACATTCTTCAAAGTCAAAATAAGACAATATTAACTGTGTGTAGAATGTTGCAAAATGTCACCTGATGGAAAAGTGACTCATATGAACAAAACGTGCAACAGCTTTCACCCTCAGGTAACATTTAAAGATCTCAGTTAGTGCTTCYAAATGTTGCTCATAAATTTAGCAAACGCTAATCCACTAACAAATTTTTAAAAAAGTATCAAAAGCCCTAAAGCACTAATCAGGAAATTTGTTCCCTTATTAGTGCTTTAGGGGAACTGTGCCCACCAAAGTTAGGAACTTTACATGGCCGTCAATTTCTCGTTACATGGCTGTTTGCGTGGAGTTCTGTGATATTCCACAAGATATAGTTCAAAACATGTTCACAGAACAAAATATAGTGACATATTTTTTTAGAAATAAATGCAAATATATTCATCCCTTGAAGAAATATTTGGCAATTAATTGATAACAGATTCCCTTCCTGGTGCAGCCTGGGTTCAAACCCACTGTCTCAGAACTAGGAGGCTGCAGAACTTACCACCATGCTCCAAGGAGCCCCTGATCTTCAGCTGTTGAGTAATAAAATACTATAAAACTAAATTAAACTGAATCCGGTCACAGGTTTGTGTTACTTTGCTCAGCGCTCACCAGTCAGTCTGTTCTCAGTCAGGTCCTCCTTTGTCTCAACGATGATCTGAGGCAGTTGAGACAACGGGACACACACGTCTGTGGAGTACGCCTTCAGGAACACACACACACACACACACAAGGTCACAGGACTGGAATGGCACCAAGTTTTTGTCTTTTGCAATCTTTAAATTTTAAAGCTTTAACAAAATGAAGGGAGAAGTGGCCCCAGGTGTGTAACGTTGATGAATAATAAATGCACACAACACCTGTGTGACTTTGGCTGCAGGTTTACAGACAGCAGCAGTAAGTTAACGCAAACTGTCAGCTTTATTCCCTGCGGTGCTTTTAAAAACAATATTACATGGCTTTGATTCCTAACGTTACATCTAGAACTGATTAGGTTTTGGAGTCGAGCCAGTTCAACATGGCTGCCCCAGCTAACGTATCACAGCAAACACAAAGAAGGTTATGACAGATATTTCAGCAGATACTGAGCCCGTCGGGACGTCCTGATCGGTTTACCTTGCAGCCTGGTCTGAGAGCCTGCGCGGCGTACCAGGCGTCATGGCGGGCCTTCCACAGACGATTTCGTGTTTCTGTGTCCCGAGCCCACTGAAAGTCTGAGCCTTCGTTACTCTGCGTGATTTCCTCTGCAGAAACACAGACATAGTTCCATAGATACCTCTAAGATCAGCAACTTTAAACCTTTTTAGATCWAATTTTACCCAAATGTGATCACACTAATCACTGTACTTTTAAATTCCTCAAGTCTGCAAACATCCACAGTTTGGTTGGATGGATTTATTTTCTGTGTCTAAGTGAATCAATCAGATTACGATAGAAACATGTTGCATCCATCTTTAAATATATTTTAAGAACTCGCGCAGCTCAAGAGCTTTTTTAATTTAATTCCCAAAAAAATTAACTAAACCTGGAGTTTCTGTAACTTTACGCTCGTCAAGGCAACACTTCTTCCTCCTCTTTTCTGCACACTCACACACCCGCTGTGGCGACCTGCTCTTCCAGGCTCCGTTCAGATCCGTGGAACTCCAGGAACAGAGTCGGGGTCACGGGGTAGGACAGGGAGCTGAACCTGTTGCAGGCGTCGATCATCACATCATCCAGAAACTCTGGACCATGAAAGGACAAACAAGACCGGGAGGTAAAAACCACGGACACATCTGAACAGGTCTTTTTCTTGAAGTTACGTTTTACATTCATTAGGATCTCATTTAAGTAGTTTTGTCATTTAGAACAACTCAACATAAACCAGAGAAATTGCATTTCCTGCTAAAATGCTAGTGTGAAAGCTTCGTGCTGAAAACTTAAGCTGAAAGCTGCTGAAATTGAGCTGAAAATATTTAATAGGAAAAGTGTTAATACTTTGTATTTGCACTTTACTGTGAAAAGCTGAAAGAAGCAAAAAAGCCTAACCTTGCAGAAAAACAGTAAAAAGGCGCCCAAATCTAGTTGAAAACAGAAAACAGCTAAAAGCTAAAACAGCTGAAAACATCTGTAAGAAACATAAATAACACTAGGTAGCAGAAAAAAAGCATAAAAAGTAGAAAAAGCAGAAGAATAGCAGAAAGAAGYAGATCTATAGCTAAAGTAGCATAAAATAGCTAAAATTACTATAAAATAGCCTAAAGGTAGCAGCCACAAGTTAAAATTAGCACCCAGATAGAGAAAACGTTGCAAAGAAAATTTTAAAACTAGCAGAAAAAAATGCATACAAGTACAAAAAAGTGATCATTTGTAGTAAAATGGCTAAAACAGCTGAAATTTTCAGTACAACAGCTAAAAAGTAGCTGGAAATTTTTTTAATTAGCATGAAGGAGAAGCACAAGTTTGCTGAACTTAGCTGAAAAAATTTGTAATAGTTACAAAAAATATGTACTTAGTTTAGAAAAGCTAACTTTAGCCAATAGCAGCTAAACATTAGCTAAAATTTCAGCAAATAGTTGAATATAGCAGAAAGCATCTGTAAGAATCATAAATAGCACAAAGCAGCAGAAAAAAGCACAAAAAATTGAAAAAAAGCAGAAGAATAGCCGAAAGAAGCAGAATTTTAGCTGAAATAGCAGAAAAAAGCTAGAATTAGCAAAAATAGCAGCTAAAATTAGCACAAGAACGTGAAAAAAAGCATAACCAGAACAGAATGTGTAAGGTGCTGTAAAGATTTAGAAACATTTTCAGTGGTTAAAAAGCGGCTAAGAAAGTGAAATAGCTAAAAAAGTATAAAAAGATGAAATTCCAAAGGTCATAGCCCCCCTCACACGAATGAGCTGAACGTTTTGACGTATGAATTGTTGAAATAACACAAACATTGTGGAAGGAGTTAGGTGTGTGTGACAGAGCAGAATCTCTTCTTTGACCAGAATCCTTAAAGCTTTCATCACTTCCTGTTTCCACTCATCCTCCTCACCTATGCGAGCGATGGGGACTCCAGCCTGCAGGATCTGCACGGTGCTGTCTACGGCGGCCTGGACGGAGGGAAACGAGCAGACGGCGGACACCATGGCCTCTGGGATGCCGTAGAGACGTAACGTGGTTTTGGTGATGATTCCCAGGGTGCCTTCAGAACCCACAAACAGGTTTGTCAGGTTGTAGCCGGCCGASGTTTTTCTGAAGACACAAAACAAAAACTAAGGCGTCCAAGTCGACCAGAGGTGCATTTGTGATGTCCGGTCCGCACCTGGGGCGTCGGCCTCTTCCAGCCGTGTGGATGATGGCTCCATCGGACAGAACCACCTCTAGGTTCATGACGTTTTCCCTCATAGTCCCATAACGCACTGCATTAGTACCAGARGCACTGGTGGCAGCCATGCCACACAGAGAGGCATCCGCTCCAGGATCTGAGATAAACAAACAAAACGCATAAATTATTTTATTTAATTCTTTAGATTTTTGAATATTTAATCCAGAATGATAATTAGCTATTGATGATACATAAATATTAGGGGTGCAACAATACATGATCCCATATCGAACCGTTTAATATAGTACTTTAGGTTTAATACACACTTTTATGGAAAAATACAGATTTTTAACATTTATTTTATCAGCTTGTCTTCTGAAGRTGCTCTGTGTTGAAGGATCAGTAGATCTGTGTTCGACTACTCCACCTTGGCTGCGTTGTTGAGCGCAGATCCACTGAGAAACTTACTGTTTCAGCAACATTTAATTTAAAAACTGGACTTTTGAGGTTAAACAAATGTTCATAATTAATTTAAATAAATAACAAGTTAAAAAAAGGGCAGGGACATTTCTCCTTTTTGTATCGAAAAAATATCGAACCGTGAGATTTAAGTGTTGAACCGAACCAAATCGTGAATTTCCTGTACCGTTGCAGCCCTAGTAAGAGATAATCCAAAGGCTAAAGTTTCATTTCTGTTCTGTATTCGTCACTCTCTTCCACAGTGACTGACCCACAGGGAACCAGAGGCCCGTGTCTCGCAGGTACGCATTGAGGGCTTTCCGAGTCACACCAGGCTCCACCGTCACATCGAAGTCCTCMGGGTGGAGGTCCAGGATCTGGTCCATGTTCCTTAAACTGAAGCACACACCACCCTGAGGATGGAAGTAAACAGAGACACGACACGTCATCTTACTCTGGTTTCGTTCTACTTTCTTTCTCCAACATAAAAAACACATTTTAGAGTTTTAGTTTGAAGCACAGCTGGTCTCATATTCTTTCACCTTCACAGCACCGACCCCTCCCTCCAGGCCAGTCCCTGTGCCAAAGGGGATGATGGGAAGCTTGTGCTTGTGGCAGACTTTGGCCAGAGCGCTAACTTCCTCCACGCAGCGAGGAAACACCACCGCATCTGGGGGACGACACCTGGACAGCAGGATTACAGGTTTATCACCACTTTTTGTGCTTCTTTCACTGCAGAGCACATGTTTGGATCTGAGATTGTAAAACTCCCATCTGAGCTGAGGAAACCGACCCGACTTACTTGTGTACGGATTCGTCTTTGCCRTGTTGTTCTCTGACAGCTTCGCCCAAGGAAACGCCATCCTCGCCACATATGGACCTGAAGACGGAGAGCACTTGGTCCACAGCAGCCGTCTGTGTGGACGCACAATGTGGAGGATAGTGAAGAAAATAAAACTCATTGAACAATGTGCAAAAAACATTTAATTATGGAGTACTAATATCAGTTTACTTATTGTCATAGAGTCAGTATTTACCTAAAAATACAACTAATTTTGACATGTTTTTCTTGGATCAGTCCACAAGATAGTGCAAGAACTAAGTTAATTCTTGCACTTAGATTGACACTTTTTTTCAAAAGTGACACAAAATGTGACCAAATGGACAGTTTATGTTGGCTACTCAGTAATTATAAAGAATACAAACCATCTTTAGCAAAAACATTCAAATGTTTACAATGTAAAAAAAAAGGAAGAGAAAAAAGAAGACAGAGCACAGAAAGGTCAAATTTCTCAATTTTGGTTTATGTCCTTAATTTCCATTTATATTTAATTTTCATTTATGAAAAAAACAAGAGTTATTCTGGTGTCAGAGAATGAAACAGTAGCTTATGTTGTAAAATACTAAATACTATGTAGTGTGTGTTAAAACTGTGTTGGTCCGTTTCCTCTGATCCTGCAGCACAATAATAACCTTTGATTTGCCCTGTTAGGTTTTAGACCGCACGCGACCTCTGACTCACATTAACGCGACACAAACAGCAGCTTTTATTTTTGTTTTTAAAAACTCACCCTCGCGGCGCTTTCTGAACTAACGTGGCGACACTGAAGGAGACAACGCCGCAGAGGCAGCAGCCTGGGACACACGCTCCAGCCGAGCGACATGTTTTTCATTGAGCTGTCAAAGGCACTTCCGGATTAGTAAAGTTCTCTGCCAGCAACTTCCGCTACGTGATTTTCAAAATAAAACTAATCTCGTGCCTTGATTTTCGCCGGAAGATAGCGCTGCGGGTCAAAAGCAAAGACGGTTAGTTGGTGAAAGTTGGTGTCAAAGTCTAAAACCTTCTCATTTCTGTTCAAAGTGAGGTAAATATTTAGTAATTTGTTTATATTTTTCAGCTATAAACGTGTATAATGGCGTCCTGACGTGTTTTTGTTTCATGTTGTCATCGCTGAGGTCGCGTTTAAACAGCTGTTTTGCACACGGATCAGCTGTTGTCTGTACACGTAGAAATCACAAACACTGTCGTTCCTAAAATAATTTTACAACAGTTGACCTACTTCCTAAAACTGCTGTGTTTTTTTTCTGAAAGGCCATGTATCCTGTTGATCTTCCACCTGTGGACGGCACTGAGCTGCTATCTGCGCCTAGACTTTACCTTACTTCCTTGAACGCAACGTCTTGCAAGAACAAGTGGTTTCAGTCACAGACCACGAAGGTAACACTGATGACTCATTTATAGTTTTTACTACAGGTCTATAAAGTACTTGAAAAAAAAAACACTAAGTAAAAGTAAAATTACATGAACAGAAAATGACTTTGGTAAAAAAAAATAAATGTCACTGATGAGAAAACTACTCAAGTAAAAGTTATAAAACTGTTCACAAAAATTGGGAAAAGTWAAAGTACTTTTACACACTCTCTAAGAAATATACTGTTGAATTTACTGAACCAAACTGGTTCCACTAAGACAGGTTGAGTAAATTGAGCAATATCTTTATATTATTTGCTCAATTTACTCACTAGGCTTAATGGAACCAGTTGACACGACTTTGTTGAGTAAATTCAACATTTCATTTTTTTTAGAGCAGAAACATCTTTCATGATGAGTTCAAACATATTTAATTTTATAACGAGTAACTTGGTGTTACATTTTAAAATAAAGAAGTATACGTATCATTTTTAGCTTTAAAATGTAGTGAAATAAAAGTAAAAGTAGCTCTTTAAAAATAATTGGTAAAATATCAAATACCCCCCAAAAAAACTACTTAAGTACTGTAACAAAGCAAATGTATTACTATAAACCTCTGGTTTTTACCTAATTAGGAATTCAGCTGTTGATTAACTGAGTATCAGCTTGAGATCACAATAAAGTAGGATGTTATATATAAAAAGTGAATTTTGTTTAATTTAATTTTGTCTGATTTTAGTTGTAGATAACAGTCAGGGTAATAGGCAAACAAAATATTTATTAATTAAAATGTTATCGCCTTTTGCTCTATTTTTGTAGCGCCACTGAGATGTTTGCATTTTTATATAGTTAAACCATTTGTTTGCTGTAATGTTCCTCTCTGCACAGGTTGCCATTACAACAGCCAATATAAGACAGTTGCAGCTGTTCGAGGGGGACCATCCTCCACATGTGCTTCTGGCGCTTCACCCTCCAGAAGATCCAACACAAGGTTTGGAGGTACACTTGTCTCCGTGGACGCCTCGRTCCAGAAATCAACTAACRATTGCTGCTCTGTTTTCACCTTCCAGTCGTGGGTCTGTACCTGCGCGACCAGTGGTGGCGTTTGGATGACGTGTTGCGAACGTCCAATAAATCCAGACGTGGTTTTCTGTCGGTAAGTGTGCAAATGTTCGTTTCATATGATAAAGCMACAAGAAGGAGGTTAAAGACACAAGCATTTAGTATAAAGTAAGATGAGGTTTGCTTACTTTAGTTTAAAACWGTTTCATGTTTATACACTTTAAAAGGGTTTAAACATTTTGTCAGAGTAGCATGAATTACTGCTTTTAGCTAATCTGCATTACCTGCACAGATTTTATGATCCAAACAATCCTTCTTGCTTATTTATACCTCTGATTATGAATTACTGAGATAATCTTCAAAATGTCAAATTACATTAATAACCAGAAGTACTGTATATTGTTTAGTTTAAGGTAGAGGTGCCCAAAGTGGGGCCCGCGGGCCAAATTTGGCTCGCCAAGCCATTTGATTTGGCCCACCAGCAGTTTTCCTGGTTACTAGATTGTAATCTCCTGTCTTGTGTAGAAATACTATATTTGCACTTAGTATTTTCAAACATTGGTCCAGATATAAGGAGCTGTAGTCAGATAGTCTTAACTTATGGAGCTCACTTTTTCTTTGAATTATGTTTAAATTAAACTTAAAATACAACTTCRAGATACATTTATATTAGATTTAAGTCCATATCTAGATTTACACACCTTAAAAAGCCACATATACTCAAATTTTAAATTATAAAAAGTCCCATGAGCCTTTGYTGCCCTAGCATACATTGAATTTTCTCCATATCCATGGGCTGAAAAAAACAAACAAACAAACTAGGAAATGTGGGCAACCGCACTGGCTGCTAGCTTAATTATAAAAAACACAAATTTACTTGAAGTATTTGCATTTCTTGTGTTATATTATTGCATTTGGCCCACCACCCTCAGATTGATTTTAATCTTGGCCCTCTCAGGGAAAATGTTTGGGCACCACTGGTTTAAGGTGTGTCTCACTGTGTGACCGTTGGAGGCTAGTTGATGTCTCATTATTTTATTGGCCCATTAAACATTCTCCTCTTCTGTTTTTGTACCCACCTCGTTTGATTTAATCAACTGGAAAACACTTTTATTATGAAGATAAGCAATTTAATAATTATTGTGTGAATGTACGGCAT